CTTCTTCTCTTTTTTTTTCTATCCCACTTCTGACACCAATTTGTTACGTCTCCGTTTGTTAATTGTTTTTCCTTAACTTCGTTCCGACGAAACTTAAGCGACACAAGTCCTTTCTTAATAAAACTGGTTTATTCTTTCCAAATATAACTTTACCGATACACTCAATTTCAACAATCGCGCTAAACAAACGCTGTAACGTCTCTCGTGCTCTGTGACTGCAGTTCAATTACTCACTGTCTATACACACATTATATTCACGTTGTCACCCTCTTATATATACCAGACTACCCTATCTAGTAAATACTAGAGCATTCGCCAAGGTACAGGATAGTTCTAGAAACGTGGCATCACAGTAGTCATGTGACTCGCTGACGCAACAATATATATTTCAAGATTCTATAATAACAGTGATGCATTTTTCTAGTACTATGTAGTTTCATTAAAAAAAAACAATAATTTATGGATTCCATTAGAGTTTCAAACACATAAAATGATAAGGCACTGACAATTTAATAGTAGCAAAATGTTTTTATGGGTACTGCAAAAAAAATTTAAATATAGGACATGTTACCATTCTAAGTAAAGAAAAGCATAATTATTCTTTGTAATTCACTTTTTTAGGAGGACATTTCAGAAATTTGTTGCCTTATTGTGTGCAGTAGGAACAGTACTAGTGTGTATCTATCCTGCAGTAAATGCATTTGCCTTAATGGCTTTTGGAATCCCCATTACCTGTTTGTTGATTATAGAACTGAAAAGGTAAGTGCATCAAGTAAAATTATTATTGATTGGTAGTCTAGCTAAACAGTGATCTGTCTGCTAATCAACTGTACACTTTGTACAGTTGTCAAAAGTTTTATTTTAGGATTTATTTCAAAAGGTTGTATTTCACTACCATAGTCACAGAACAAAATCTCATCATCATTTTCAAAAAAAATTTCATAAGGTGGACCCATCTTAAAATTGTCTCTGTGGCATTTTTTTTTGCTTCTTCAAATCTTAAGTCACCTTGTGGTAGAACTAATATAGCTTTGTGAACAAGTTGAACAACTAAACTGGTTAACAGCATTTTATGTATAGGACATAAAAACAACCTTATGTTACCACAGAAATGTTTTTTTTTTTATTACTAATGATTCTCTGATGATTCTCCTGGCAACTTCATCAGGGTCACAGTCTACTTACAGTAGGATACAGAAGGTCTAGAAAGATTAAAAATCTAGAATAAATATGCCACAGGGATACTGTTGATTTATCATACATAAAACAATAGTAGTTTTAACAATATATTGACATATGTACACAAACATCTATACTCATCAAAGCTTGAAAGCTTACTAAGAGAAGCATCATTAGGTGCTTAAAAGATTTGGGGCTTGGGATCATGGTTTTTCTGTCCTAATTTTTCAAGACACCAACTGAGGATTCGGGGCATGGGCCCCATGAACCAGTGCCTAGTGATGCCTATGCTTACTAACAAAAATATACAATAATAATAATAATACCTTAATATGAAATGGATTAAAGTTCAAAAACATAATTCATAGAGGCCATTTACACTTTTGATTTAATTCTGGTTTCATATTTTCATTCATTAAAATTTCTCTGCATCTTCCCTAGAAAAGTCCAAGCAGTAACAAGAATTTTAATGCTGAACCAGTTCTCTGGTCCTGAGTGTTGATCATGTTCCTTCTCCCAAAGTTATCCATATAGATTTTAGTCTGGTGTCTTTCAATACATATATCAATAGATCTGGGTTTTTCACCAGAGTATATCTTGTTACAAACTTTACAAGTCAGTGAATAAACTTTATTGATGTGTTGTTTTCCATTTAATTCTGTTTTGAATATTACACTCATGTATTTGACAAATACTTGGTGTTAACATACATTTGCAGATAATAGATTTTGCAGATTACTGGGCATTGCATTATTTTGATTGAGAGACTACTTAACTTTATGGCTCTCTTTAGTCTGTTATTGACAGTATAGATAATCTATGGAAAATTTTCGTCATCCATAGAGTAAGCAGTTCATAAAGTCAATTCTTCTAAAATCAAACTTGTTTTCTTATGAAATGAATTATAAGACCTGAAGTTCAAGTAAATTTGTTTAGTCATGTGTTTGTTTTAGATGTTATTTTTTAATTGTCCATTATCAATGGATAGCATAGAGTTGAGAAATGGAAGTTGTTGGACTGCATGGGAATGTTGTAAAGTGAATTTACTGTTGGATATATTGAATTCATAAATTCTGAAAAAGTTAGTATGAGAGTATAATAAATGATTCCAAATACCAAGAAATCTCACCAACAAACCTATACCCAACTTCTAATATTAAAATTGTATTTTCTTTCCATTCTTCTAGTGCACTTTGTTTAGGGTCTATCAGGATTTGTATTATTGGATTCTTTATTGTAGGTGTCTGTGACTTGTTGATGATAACTTTCAACTATAAACAAACAGCAATACAGTATGCTTGTTTTAAGATAATATTGTTATGCCTCTGGTCATTTGTTAATTTTCCATAGAAATTCTCTCCGAGAAACTTCAGCGATACAAGTCCTTTCTTATATAAAACTAAGTTTATTCTTTCTCAACTCAACTTTACAATACACTTAATTTCCACAGTCACTTTAACTTAAACACACGCTATAAATCACAATGATTTACACTTACAGCTTGACTCGATTATCTGTCTCCCTGTCTGTTATTCAATTATATATGCCGTCACTTCTCGCCAGTCTTATATATACAAAATAGAGGGCGTCTGCTATAAATCACAATGATTTACACTTACAGCTTGACTCGATTATCTGTCTCCCTGTCTGTTATTCAATTATATATGCCGTCACTTCTCGCCAGTCTTATATATACAAAATAGAGGGCGTCTGGCAAACACTTGAGCCTTCAGGTACGTTTGAGATACTCATTATGTGTTACCAGCATCATGTGACTTCCACTGTCGTAACAACATATTAGAAACAAATCAAATATCTCTTTTTTCATCAAAATCCACACAAGCTAGTTCAGTTACTTTAGAACACAATTGACAAGACAAACTATTCTTCTGTACTCTGTTGTTACAATATAATCTGCAATAATTTCACTTTAAAAATCACCACTATACACTCTTTATCGCTAAACTCATGATCATACAGTCTAGAACTAGAAGTAAATAATCATTTTTCGATGCGTAGTTATATCTCAACAGAATTCTAGAACATTCCATGTAATACTAGGTATTCTGATGCAATAATACTCAATTAAACCAATGAGAAACTCAGAAAGGTCTAACAAAATGATGCAATAAGCTCACTATTGTAAACAATCGCTAATTCATAACAATTTAACTGCACAACATAGGATTTGTAAACAGTTATGTGAACAAATTTACCATAAAGTATTACTTCTAAGAATAACTAAATGTGACATCCACGCCATATGAACTATCTAAATCATAACACTCACATTAAACTTAAACTGAAGTAGTCGTGTATATATAATAGGATCATTGATGAAAAAAACAGGCAAAAACAACTGTGATTCTGTACCACATTGGAACCACTCTAACTTCATGTTTAAAAGTGTTCTCACCAAATTTCACATAATTATTACATAGTAGAGCTTAATGCTGTTTCCAGTAAGTAAACTGGGACATTCTTTTCACAATAATTTTTATAAAAATGTCAAGACATTCCTCTATTGCAAGAGAGGGATATAGCTAAAAATGTTTATTATCCTTGGTAATTTTTTTTTATGTCAATACTTATTCTTTCTGGAAATATTCAGTGCTATGAAGATAGATAGGCACTTTATCCTGTAGAGGATATAAAATTTTTTCAACACCACAGGATAGCCTACCTACTGGTGCACCACAAGCTGATACAAATAATTTAATAAGTAAGTTGTGTTTGTTCTTTGATTAACCGATAGGACTCTGGTGTGTAACAATAGTTAGACTTCATTCAGAAAGTAGGGTGCTAGTATTTTTTTTATTCTGGCCTAACATATTCTTACAATTCTATTAAGGTTTCTTAGTAGGTTCATTGTTAAGGTGGTCATAAGTGTTGAGGTCAATTAGCTGTTCATTGGGTTTTGACTCACAGGATTCTTTGTTTAAAGAAACAGAATCTTTACCTTTGTCAGGAGGTTTAAAATGTATGTTGTATTATTTATAATTTCATGATTAACTTTTTATCATTGTAGGAAAAGTTACTGAGTACATGAGTGTTCATTAGTCCACAAAGGATATTTCTTAACTCATATTTCAAGACTTGTCACATTTGCTGTATCATCTGAATCTTTTGGTGAAAACGTTTTGTGTGAGTTGAAAGGATGGTTTATGTTGTTAAATTATTCATCTGTAGATTCAGTTGTACAAGACCCTATTTTGGTGTCGAGCATCAACACCTTGCAATTGTCTTCTCCCACTGAAAACAGTGGCCACTCTGAAGGCTTTGGCCACCATTTCCTTTCAGCTCTTCTTGTCCCTTTTTGCTGGGAAGGATATTTTTGGCTGCTAGACACATAAATCATCTTCTCCCATAGCTGACCAACTGACAATGACTTTCTTCTTGGTTTGTCCAAAAGACATGCTGCCATAATTCACTATAGGTACATCAAACAATTATCACAAGTTGCTGATCCCTAACTGCTCTAGAATTAAAGAGCTTTCAGTTATATTAAGAGTATTTTGAATGGTATGAAACAAAACAAAAAATTAGGAAACATTAAATGAAAATGTTTAAATCATCTATTGAATATTGTTCAAAAGCATATTTTTCCAAATTCTAAAAATAAAAATACAATATTTGTACTAATGTCTGTGGTACTAAGATTAATTTAAATCACATTTACTTTGAACATAGTATATTCATAAAATATTTAAGTAGTTATTGAAATTGGAAATGAAATGGTTAGTTATTACAGAAAGTGAGATTCAAGTAGTCATAAAAAGTTTTGAAAATATTAAGACACATGGAAATCAATGTATTCCATTTAAATTTTTACAAGCTTTTGAGGATGTAATAAAAGAGGTTAATTAGTGTCAATGACAAAGTATTTTGAATTTTAAGAATTGGTTATACTGCAGAGACAAGGTGTTATTTAATTGACAGAAAAAGAAGGGGTAGAACTGATTAGATATTAAGAATTCAACATCAGTAACCTTACCAAAGGTAGGTGTTAATGTTTTATCTAAATGCCTTGCTCTATAGTTGTCAAAGGTTATGCCATGTTTAATTTAGCATAATCAACAAGTTTTATTAATGAAACTCTCAGATAGTGAACAGTATAATTTGAGAGTTAAAGTATTTAGTTCTTGTGGAAGATTAAGTATGTTTAACTGAAATATTGAAGATAAAAATTAAACTACCTTGTGAACAAACTGAAATGCCTTTTCCATCATGTATAGATTTAAGATTTAAATGATTTAAAAAAATATAAATTTAGGTGCTTTGTATAAAATATAAAACTTGTAAAAGTGAGAATTGTAACTTCCTCAATTTGTAAAACTTACACAAAAATAATTAAATATTTATTTATTTTGTAAGTAAAATTACACACTACATGGGTAATCCCCTTTTTTTTTTCTTTTTTGAGAAACAATATCAGTTGAAGTATGAAAAAGTAATATTTGCTTTATATAAAGATACTTGTAAAATATAAATATGTTGCATCCAATTTTAATATTAGGAAAAGAGGATAATCATGACACCAGATACAACCCTATTAATATATTTTTTTTTTTAAGTATCTG